GATTTTCAAAATTTCCAAATCCAAGATGGCGGCCGTGGCCTAAAATGCTAAGTCGGCTCCTGTTTGATCGATTTTTGTGAAAGTCGGTATCCAGGAGTATTTTTCGACGAGGAACTCGAATTTTTGGTCAGATTTTCAAAATTCAAAAATCCAAGATGACGAACGTGGTCTAAATTGCTATCTTGGCTTCCGATCCATCGATTTTTGTGAAATTCGGTATTAGGAGGTGTATTTCGACGGGAAAGTAGAATTTTGGGTCCGATTTTCAAAATTATAAAATCAAAAATGGCGAACGTGGTCTAAATCGTTATCTCCGCTTCCGATCCATCGATTTTTGTGAAATTCGGTATTAGGAGGTGTATTTCGACGGAACACTCGCATTTTTGGTCAGATTTTCAACATTTCCAAATCCAAGATGGCGGCCCCGCACGAAAACGCGGTCCGGACTCCTAGAACATCAATATCTGTAAAACTTGGTGAAAAAGAAGATTAAGACATAGATGTTGTCTCCTCATCAATGTTAAAAAACTGTGCAGGGCGGTGGCGGCTCGCGGAGCGAGTCGCAAGTTCGTCGCGAAGCGTAGAACTGGGGTCCAGGGGCACTCCCCGGCTAGACGTGTCAGCTCGCAAAGCGAGCTAATCACGACTAGTTCGTCTTATAAGATTATTAAATTGCAGGCAATACTAATTCAGGTTCCCTCTGCTGAAGGCTGTTGAATTTTTCTACATCAAGGAGTTGATTACACCGATCAGCAAATTTTTAATTTTTTAAATTTGCCTTAAATGTGTTAACTGATTTCGGGTAGATTTTTAGTACTGATTTTGAGATGGACCTCCGGTTTTCTGGGTCTGGTCAATTTTCCGCGGAAAAATCGGAATTTTCCCTAACCCGAAAAACGGAGAGCATTTTCGAAATCAGCGCTAAAAGTGTACCCAGAATCAGTTAATATGTTGCAGACAAGTTTACCTACCCGTGTTGATCAGTGTTATTAATGAAGTAATAATTGTTTGTTATTAATGCAACGGAAAAAAAGTGAAGTTGATCTAACATTCCAGATGTAAAAAAATTGTGCCATAACTTATAAAATGCTGAATTATCCGCCACAGCAGTTAATTTCACACGTTGGCATTGCTGAAGTAACTGCTGCAGTGGGAAATTCAGAACTTTAAAAGTTCTCACACACTTTTTGTACATCTGGAATGTTAAATCAACTTCACTTTTTTTTCGGTGTGCGTATCCCATCATTTAACTACACGTTTTTAATCAGATATCTACACATATTTCTCCAGTAGGATGCACCACCCTAGTCTTCCTAAAGCTGTGAAAGGTTCGAAGTACGAGTATTTGCACTATCTCAGGGCACGCTGAACAAGTGAACTTCCCGTAGAAATCATGCATCTTGCTCATCGAGTTTCGAATATTTGGATTGCGTTCGATTAAGTTCACCGTGTATCAGCTCATTGCAAGACCCTGTGAACAATTTTTCAATTACCAAGGCAAAAGATACTGTTAATGATATCTCAATTAAGCAAATTGCATGGTGCCTTCCTTCAGATAAGGGTTAACGTAGGCGAGCAAACTATAACCTTCATTCAGAAAAATCATGTTACGTTGTGGTCAAATGCAAGTTTTTTCCCACAGATAAAGGCGCGCGTGCCATGCACTTTGCCATGCGTCTCTGTTGCCAAATGAACAGAATAATCGTAATTATTAACATGTACAATGCACATTTCTGCTCAATTCTGTACAAATGGGCACACGACCACAACCTCAAAACCAACATCATTTTACATGAAATGAAATTGAGGTGTCGTGTTAAAGAAAATTAGGGTGTCGAGTTTCGTCAATTAATGTAAACGAGAAAATGTGACACAGGCACGTGGACGAGCTGCGAACCTCCAAAAAATTACATAAAATTGCCCTCTAGGGTATCATTGCCATGAATATCGATGGCAAAAATGCGAAACAACGTATCTCCATTGTGGTGTTTCA